ATTATTTAATTAATGATGGTTGGAATATCGTAACTTTCTTTCCAATTTTTTAGGTATTTGCATTGACTCATTGACTCGTGATTGATCAGAGCCCACGATGGTCGGTATTGATGAAATAACTTCTTATCGTTATTGATGAGTTTGTTTTCTTATTTATTTATTTATTATGAAAGTAAGTAATCTTGATACCTACCAATATTAAAATGTTCTATAGAAAATTGTTTATATTAATTTTTATATTTTTGTGGATATAGATTAGGACGACTCTATTTCTTTTAATATATTTATTTTTTATAATAAAAAATTAATTAAAAATTATTTAATTTACATTTATCATAAAAATTAACCAATTTTAATTAACAATCCTCAGTTAAGTGACTATTAAAAACTTATAAAATATATTACAATAAAATTCTGAAAACACCTATTTTAATTTAAGATAGTGTGCACGCACACACATATCCTTAATTAGTTAATACAATATATACAAAATGCATAAAATGAATTTGTGGATTAATTAGTATTTGAAAATTATAACAATGGATAACCCTAGTAATACTGTGAAACAAAAACTTGTTTCACAAAATATAAGTGGAGTTAAACAAAAAGTTGATTTAGCATATAACACGTATATACAATTAATATATGTAACACAGATTTTGAATTTAGGGTTTGGTTGTTTGAAATCATTTCCTCTATTCCTCTAGAAGACACAATTACCATGTGAAGAATTTCTCTCAAAACATTTCTTTTATGTACTGCTAAAAACAACACAACACAGGGTTGCCCTAATCATTCAAAATCATTCAGCTGTGTGGTCAAAGACACTGTCTTAGCAGCCTAAAGTTGAACAATAGTAATTCTTTTCTTTCTGTATGTGCGGTTTGAACTGTAGTCTTAGCTCATCTCTCTCTCTCTCTCTCTCTCTCTCTATATATATATATATATATATATATATATATATATATATATATAGAATTCATACGTCTATTGATTGTCCTGTCACCATCAAAAGCCATAAGTAACACGTGAAAACTGATTAAAATAATGTGAGTAGAAGTTTTCAACAGTCAGTAGATTTTATGGAAACCATATTACCCATTTCCATGTTTATGTGGTATTCTTTTGTATGGTTCTTGCTAGTAAAAGAAAAAAAAGTTTCTGTGGCATCAGTTTAACACTATAAAAACAATCTAATTCATTTTCTTAAATTATTGGATAAGAGTTACATATGAGCCCATGTTTTATTACGAAGAATATTTCTGATTTATGTTTTTAAATTGAGTTAATAGTTGATTTTTGTGTAAGGATAATTATCACTGAGTAGTTAAAAATTCAGATAATTAATGGAGAAAAGATTCATTTCCGTCATAGATCTAACGTTTGACTTCGATTCACCTTACTTAAAAAATGTATTATAATTTCTACATAGTTTTCTCACTTATTAACAAAAATAAAATAAAATTTACCTCTATTATTTGAAGTTTTTTTATATTTGTTATAGGTTGGGGAAAATTTACTACGGTTGACTTAACTGAAAAAGAACTCATTCATATATTTATTGATTACCATGTTAACACGTAATTTCACGGGAAAACTTATTAATATAATGCGAGTATAGAAGTTGTGGAAACATGTTACCTATTTCCGTGTTTTTGTAGCAACTAATTAAACGTGCTAAATCAGTCGTCAACTTGTTCATTCTTTACATGGTTTATGTATAAATATACAGCTTCTCCTCATCAAATTAGGCCATGAAATTTAGATTTTTCTGAAAAAGAAGTAGTTTTCTTTGCTCTTTCGTAAGATCAGTTCATTCCATCTCTCTCTCTTTCTCTTTGTCTCAGTAAGTCATCAATTGAGATCTATGGAAGCAACTCAAAAAAGTGACGATGGACACCTGATTACTCTACTGAGTATCGATGGTGGTGGTATTCGGGGAATCATTCCAGGAGTTTTACTTGGTTTCCTTGAATCAGAACTTCAGGTAATAATCTGCTAACTAAGAAAAAAACGTTGTATATGTAAATTAACTGTTGTTAATGCAGCCATCTAACTGATAATGGTGCATATGCAGAAGCTGGATGGTGCTGATGCAAGGCTAGCAGATTACTTTGATGTGATTGCAGGAACAAGCACCGGTGGATTAGTCACTGCAATGCTCACTGCTCCAAATAAAGATAACCGACCCTTGTATGCAGCCCAAGATATTAAGAAGTTCTACCTTAAGCATTCCCCAAAAATCTTCCCACAGAATAGGTAAATACCACACTTTACCATAAACTTCATACCAAATCATTCAAATCTAAATACATATTTTATCACCGTGTACTAATTTACAGTGTGATTTTCCAAAAACAGTCCCTGGAATATATTCACAAAAGCGATGAAGTTCGGAAGAACTCTGACTGGACCACAGTAAGACGGCAAGTATTTACACAAGCTCATCAGGGAAGAACTAGGGGACAAAAAAATGGAAAACACATTAACCAATGTCGTTATCCCAGCATTTGAAATCAAAAACCTTCAACCCACCATCTTTTCCAGCTTCCAGGTTCATCACTCCTCTAAATTATTACCTAAAATATATTCTGGTTGCAAGAAGTCACTCACTTGAAAATAAAAATTGCAGCTTTTTTAACAGACTTTTATACAAAATTTGAAGAAAATTCGTAGATAACAAGGAATGTAATGTGTGTTTGTCTTTTTCTCTAACGAAAATATTACTCGCAATTATGATGTCACAGGTGAAGAAGAGGCCAGATTTGAATGGGTTATTGTCTGATATATGCATTTCAACTTCAGCAGCACCAACCTACCTTCCAGCTCATTCCTTTGAAACCACAACCCCCGATGGTCCTTCCAAATTCGACCTTATAGATGGTGGTGTAGCAGCAAATAACCCGGTATTATAAATACTCTCGTTATATATGTACTGCTGCAATTAACGTGATTTTAAACTAAGTATATACAATATGCTTGAAAGAACGTGATAGATATATAAGTTAATTTGGTGTTTTGAAGGCACTGGTGGCGATTGCAGAAGTGTCGAACAAAATCCACAGTGAAGGTTCATTTGAAAACATGAATGTGAAACCGTTGCAATACAGCAAGTTTTTGGTGATATCATTGGGAACAGGTTCTCAGAAACAAGATATGAAATACAGTGCTGCTGAGGCGTCTAAATGGGGCCTATTGGGCTGGGTTTCCAACGGCAGTAAAACTCCTATAATCGATGTCTTCACTGAAGCTAGTTCTGACATGGTTGATTTCCACATCTACTCCGTTTTCCAAGCACGCAATGCTGAAGAAAACTACCTCCGAATCCAGGTTCTATCAAAACATATATAAACATCTACAATGATTCTCGTGATTGCAAATGAAAACTCATGAATTTAATTCTTTATATTAAAATTTTGTAGGACGAAACTTTAACTGGGGACTTGTCTTCGGTTGACATTGCCACGGAGAAGAATTTGAATGGCCTCGTCCAAGTTGCGGAAGAATTGTTAAAGAAAACAGTTTCAAAGATTAACTTGAGGACTGGTGTTCATGAAAATGTGGATTCTAACGAAACAAATGCAGATGCCTTGAAGAGGTATATATATATCAAAACCCTACACACACATAATCATAATGTAGTATTTTATCAACAATGTAATTTTTATTAAGGAAAATCCACACCAATGAGTTGCAACTTGCTTCAAATCACAGTTTCATGTATTGACTATTCTTTTTTTTAGGTTTGCGGAACGACTATCCAAACAAAGGAAATTTCGTAAATCTGTAATGTCCAAGTACAATGAGAAATTTTCAAAGACGAAGGGATGAGAGATAGTTGTTGTTCGGTCAATATGATATATGATTGTATTCTGTTCATTGTAGTGATGATCTCTTTCATCGTGTTGAGTCACAATAAATTGAGTGTCCTTCTAAACTATTTGTTTCTTTGATTTCATGTTACCGAAGTCTTTGTAATGTAATAATTTGGGTTACACTATAATGTTTCTAAATTCATTTTATCTTAAAAGCATGCCTTGTTTTATTTATAAGCAAAATAAACCATTATTACAAATGAAGTCTTGAAAATGAATTTGAATGGTATTGTTAATGGAGAATTAAAATTGAATGTTCATAAAGCTGAAGTGGATTTAATTTAAGCCAACTTTTAACGTAGGATTCAATCAAATGAAAATTATTTTTCAAAGCTTGTATGAATATGTAAAGAGTAATAATAAAACAAAATGACATTAAGAGGAGTCTTACATCGACTAGAGATAAGACCAAATTATAATATATAAACGAGATATAAACTTCACCTTACAAGCCGGTTTGAGAATATGAGTTATGATAAAACCCACCTTCTAACATGCTATCAGAGTCATGGTTAGAGCCTATCTTAGCAATTTCTAAATGGATATTCTATTATTCTATTTCACTCACAATCCAATCGTTATCGGACCATCCAATTTCTACTATCACGTAAAAAAAGAACATTGACATTTTTAAACTTTTAATTATAAGTAAAATTCAATAAGTTCAGACAGATCATGTAAAATCGTCTCGCATATATCCTAAAATAATGTGTAAGAAACATATTTTAGAAAATATTACAGTTTTTTTTAGTATAATATGTTTGGAAATCTGAGACTAAAAATAAAAAGAGTTTATTGTATAATAAATAACTTAACTTTATAAATTAATTTTGTAAGATTAAATTAAGTGTAAAGTTTATCTCTTTTAATGTATAGGTATATATAGGTATGATAGTTTACTATTCTCACATGAATGTTTTCAACGTTAATAAACAAATGAGGTGTGGAAGTATTCAACGTTAATATCTCTTAGTTTAAAATGATACCATCCATGTTATTTCTAAATTGATTTAAAACGCTATAAACAAATGTATGTTCGTGTAGTTTGGTTGGTCTATATATACAGGTTCTCCTCATCAAAACTAGCTATGAAAAGTAGGTTTTCTGAGTATCAATAAACTTGTAGAGAAGTTCAACCTCTTTCTCTCTCTCTCACTATATTTAAGTCCATGGCAGCAACGAAGAACCATGTATCTCCAGCTCCAAGAGACTCTGATGACGGACACCTAGTTACTGTGCTTAGTATTGATGGTGGTGGCATTCGGGGAATCATTCCAGGAATCATTCTTGCTTTTCTCGAATCAGAACTTCGGGTAATATCTTTAACAACTAATTCATATATATCTTTGGATAAATTTTTGTAGAACCATTCTTGAGAAAAAAAAATATAAAAAAGAAGGAGAATATTAAACATTTTCACATCCTATAAATATTAATTTAAAAGACAGTTACATATATTACCATTTTTCCCATTTTCATTTATTATTAAATTTTATTTTTAATTTATAAGAAAATTATTTAAAGTTTTATTATTTTATTGTTTTAGAAGAACTTGTTATTTAGCCAAACAAACCTTTAAAAAAAGAAATAACATCATAGAGATGGTTTGAGACTAAAAATATTTCAATATATGACATCAATAAATTATAAAACTATATTTTACAGAAAGTTTGATTTATTAGCACTTTGGGTCCTTTAGATTAGTGTATAATTAATTTTTCTTTTCATAATTTTATTTGTTCGACTTTGACATATATATTTGAAAAAAAAAAGTAGTTATCATAGTTTTAGTGACTTCATTATCGTTTACACAATTGAAAAGCAGATATTTTAGCTCAAACATATACTTACTAGGCAGCTAACAATGTTTTGATAGATGAATGCCATTAATTAGCTTATTAAATTTTCATATAATAAAATAACGGAAATGACAAGTATAATAGTCAAGCAAAAATTATTCATTTTTAAGATGCAAACAAAAGAAATGGTCACTTAAAAAATTGAAACATTTAATTCTGGTTTATATGTTTGAAAAAAAAATCATAGTTTTATAATGACTCCATTATGATCATTGAAAAGCAAAAATTTTAGCTGAAACATGCTTACTGGTCAGCCAATATGTTTTGACAGATTTGTACCACTAATTAGCTTATTAAATTTTCATATAATAAAAAATCAAAAGGATAAGAATTAATAGTCAAGCAAAAAGTATAAAAAAAAATGGTCATTTAAAAAACATAAATTATCAGTCGCCATGTATGAATAAAAATAAAATAATTAAATTTACAGATGACCAAAATTGACCGCATTAGAGGAACCAAAACAAAATTATAATCAAGCTTAAAGCTTTATGTTTATTTATTTATTGAACGGGTTTTGATTCCTTCCATACATAATGGTAAATAAAGTTTGCCATTGGTTAACGACGTGCATTACTGCTATATTAATATAATTAATTATTATCACATCATGAAAGCAACAATTTGGTTGATTGTTACATTCTGGAAATTAACTTAATTTATTACCTAGTCTGTATAAATTAACTTTAGTCTATTTCTTTTATAGCTTAATTAACATTTAATTAATATGTGATTATGGTGTGTGCAGAGGCTTGATGGTGATGATGTAAGAATAGCAGACTACTTTGATGTGATTGCAGGAACAAGCACTGGGGGATTGGTCACTGCAATGCTTACTGCTCCAAACGAATATAATCGACCNTGTTTGTATCAACATAAACTTGTAAAGAAGTTCAATCTCTTTCTCTTTCTCTTTCTCTTTCTCTTTCTCTTTCTCTTTCTCTATCTCTCACTATATTCAAGTGTATATGAAAAACCATGTATCTCCAGCTCCAAGAGCATCTGATGACAGATACCTAGTCACTATGCTTAGTATTGATGGTGGCATTCGGGGAACCATTCCAGGAATCATTCTTGGTTTTCTCGAATCAGATATGTTTGGATAAATTTTTGTAAAAGATTTTTGAGAAAAAAAATATAAAAAAAGGAGAATTTTAAACATTTTCACAACCTATAAATATTAAATTTCAAAAACAGTTACATCCATTTTTTCCATTTTCATTTATTATTAATTTTTTTTTCAATTTATAAGAAGACTTATTTAATTTTTTATTATTTTATTGTTTTAGAAGAAATTGTTATTTAACCCAACAAACCTTTAAAACATAAATAACATCATAGAAAGGGTTTGAGAGTAAAAAAATTTCAATATATGACATCAATAAATTATAAAACTATATTTATAAAAAGTTTGATTTAATCGCACTCTTGGATCCTTTAGATCAGTGTATAATTAATTTTTCTTTTCATAATTTTGATTGTTCAATTTTGGCATATCTATTTGAAAGAAAAATTACTTATCATAGTTTTAATGACAATTTTATCGTTCACACAATTGAAAAGCAGACATTTTAGTTAAAACATATGCTTACTAGTCAGCTAATAATGTTTTGAGATATTAGTACCGTTAATTAGCTTATTAAATTTTCATATAATAAAAGAACAGAAATGACAAGTATAATAATAGTCTAGCAAAAATTATTCATTTTTAAGATGCAAACAAAAAAATGGTCATTTAAAAAATTAAAACATTCTTGGTTTATATGTTTGAAAAAAAATTCATAGTTTTATAATGACTCCATTATGGTCATTCAAAAGCAGACATTTTAGCTCAAACATGCTTACTAGTAAGCCAATATGTTTTGACAGATTTGTATCACTAGTTAGCTTATTAAATTTTCATATAATAAAAACACGAAATGACAAGTATAATAGTCAAGCCAAAAGTATAAAAAAATGGTCATTTAAAACTGTGAAAACATAAATTATCAGTCGCCATGTATGAATAAAAATTAAATAATTAAACCTACAAGGGCCAAAATTGTCCGCATCAGAGGAACAAAAAAAAAATTATAATCAAGGTTAAAAATTTATGTTTATTTATTTATCGAAGGGGATTTGATCCCTTCCATATATAATGCTAAATAAAGTATTCCATTGTGCATTATTGCTATATTAATATAATTAATTATTATCACATCATGAAAGAAACAATTTGGTTGATTGTTACATTCTGGAAATGTATTTAGTATTATGTTAGGTGCAACTTATTTTATATACCTAGTCTGTATAAATTAACTTTAGTCTATTTCTTCTATAGCTTAATTAACATTTAATTAATGTGTGATTATGGTGTGTGCAGAGGCTTGATGGTGATAATGTAAGAATAGCAGACTACTTTGATGTGATTGCAGGAACAAGCACTGGGGGATTGGTCACTGCAATGCTTACTGCTCCAAACGAATATAATCGACCCTTGTATGCAGCCCAACATCTTAAGGATTTCTACCTTAATCATTCTCCACAAATCTTCCCACAGAATAAGTAAAAATTCCTTACTTTAACATAATCTTCATGCAAAAATCAACATGTCCTAATTACAGTTTAATATAGGTGCTGTAGTGTAATCGCTTCTGTCGTGAAGTTCATCACAAGTCTGTGTGGACCATCGTATGATGGCAAGGATTTACACAAGATTATTAGGGACAACCTAAAGGAAACAAGATTGGACCAGACATTGACAAATGTTGTCATCCCAACATTTGACATCAAACGCCTTCAACCAACCATCTTTTCCAGCTTCCAGGTTCATCCCTCCTCTATTTATTTATTATATCAAATATATTCCTCATTTATTGTGGAAACAAATGACTTTAATTTGAAAATCAAAAAGTTTAATCTCATTTTTAGTATCTACTAGCAATGATTTTAAATTTTTCTCTATTTATTTTTAACTTACAATATGATGTTATATTAAAAAAAACAAAAGACTCCACGTGATTTTTTTCAGATCAACATTAATATAATTTCTCCATTTTATGTTAACAGCAAACCGAAGAAAAGCTCACCCTGTTTGAACATGTTTTCATATAAAATTCTAAAGAGATATTTTCAATTAAAATGTTTATGCAACAGTTGAAGAAGAGGCCATATTTGAATGGCTTGTTGTCGGATATATGCATAGCAACGTCAGCAGCTCCAACCTATCTTCCAGCACATTACTTCGAAACCAAAACCCAACACGGTCATGTCATGGGAAAGTTTGACCTAATAGACGGTGGCGTCGCAGCAAATAACCCGGTACATGCACAAACTTATATTTCAAAGGAAAAAAAAAGGTAAAATAAGAAACGAATGAGTATGACGAAAACAATGTAATATGGTGTTAATTCGGTGGTGCAGACACTGGTGGCCATGGCAGAAGTGACAAACCAAATTTCCCATGAAGGTCAAGGTGATAGCTTGAAGGTGGAAGCGATGCAATACGATAGGTTTTTGGTGATATCATTGGGAACGGGTTCTCAGAAACAAGAACCGAAATACAGTGCTAAAGAAGCAGCTGAATGGGGTGTATTGAGCTGGGTTTCCACTACCAATGGAAGCACCCCTTTAATCGATGCCTTCACTCAAGCAAGTGCTGACATGGTTGACTTCCACATCTCTTCCGTTTTTCGAGCACTCAATTCTGAACATAACTACCTCCGAATCCAGGTCTCATCAACTTTACTTCACTCTAAATATACAATTACTTTTTCTCCTCATATTCACCGATTCAACTTTCTTAATTAGGACGATACATTAACTGGGGAATCATCTTCTGTGGACTTGGCCACGGAGGATAATTTGAAGAAACTGGTCTCAGTTGGGGAATCATTGTTAGATAAACCAGTTTCAAGGATTAACTTAAGGACTGGCCTTTACGAATCTGCTGGAACTTCTGAAACAAACAGAGAAGCCTTGACGAGGTACACATTTTAAAATCAAAAGCCAATATATATTAAAAGAAATTAATAACTGACCATGATGGTATTATTATTAGTATATACTTGTAATATTTATAGTATAAAAAATTTAGCCCTTATTATTCAAATCCAAAATCATGGGCAAGGTGTTAACTAGGGATTAAATTTTAGTATCATTTTCTGAATGTGTCTGTGCTAAGTCTCATGCTTGACCACAGGTTTGCGATACGACTATCCAAACAGAAGCAATTTCGTAAATCTCAGACGTCTGCAAACAATGGAAATTCTCAAAAGAAAGTTGTATGATGAGTATGGTATTATGATTTGTAGTGTGTTACATATCTTTTATATTACAAGTGTTGTGTTAGGCCATATGTGACTTAAGCCTAGGCGCTTGAACCAGGGTCAACGGTTTATAGGTGTTATTGGGTTCAGAGTAATTAATCCAAATAATTGAGTGTTCTTGCAAGCTTCAATGATGTGATGTAAACGCTTTGTATTTTATTCAATTAATTTGATGTTAAAGAATGTACACTTAATACTTATTTAATTTTGGGTTACACAAAACTCTTATGTTATTTATCTTTGGTTTTTTTGTCATCAATGAAAGTTTATGCTTTGATTATGTTTAGGTTACACTGACCTTCAAGTACACGAAAGAATCTTATTTTTTAATCTGCCCTTCAAGTACACGAGCGAATTTTATATTTAAAACATGGCATATATAATAAGTTTAATATCAGAATAACAAAACAGCAACTTGTATTTTACTAAATATTATATGACTACTATAATTCATGGTTTACTTTAGTTTTAATTTTGTTTTTTATTTAGTTTTA